TTGCACCCACATTACTTGCTGACGATTCCTTACCAACCACCCGAATAACCCAGCCACCCTACACGCCTCTCCGGACAAGTATGTGATGACTCATCCCCGCGGCACTCGTCGCCCGTGTCGAGTGTCGGCGTTGGGTCAAGTTACATACAATTGAATTAACCAGCGACATTTCGACAAGGAATGTCCAAGGTTTTTATCGAGATCCTGATCAGAGCGGCGAGCCGGGCGTGTTTTATGGGGCGGGAAAGAAATTAATCGCCGTGAAGGAGACCGAATAGAGGCACAAAAAGCGTGTAAAGACGCACGGCCGACCGAAGAATACAAATGTAAAATGGTGGACGGTGTGAAAGAAATTATTTACAGCCTTACTAATTTCGAGGCGTGCGGAATTGTGAGCGTTTAAACGGTATTCGACACGTGACTTTATAGCGGCTCGTAAACGTCGTATCTGCACACCCGCCGAGTGCCGGGAACAGTAAAAACAGCTGTTTTATTTAATGCCTATAAAAACCTTAAAGGTGCTGTCACTTCTAATTAATTTTATTCGTCGCCTCGGGCCGACGTGGGCGGAGTGTGGGCTACAAGATGAGCCCAAAATGACGAGAGCAAGTGCTTTGGATACTTTTAGATGGGTACCAATTGACGAGAGCAAGTTTTGTCGATATTTTTAGATGAGTCAGAAATGACGAGATAAGTGTTTAAGATACTGCATTTCCTGTAAGGTAAGAAATTGTCTTCGACCAAATCGGTAGATATTAGACCAGACCAACACGACCAGAGTGCGTAGTGTAGGGCGAAGATGAATTAACAATGAATGAGATTCAGCAATAGCTTAGCTTAGTTGATGACTAAGATAAGCAGATTCTAGTTAGAATGCTTTATCAAAAGACCAATGATCAAGGACAACAGGTTCCAGTTTCAACCTATTATAAAGCTACTGGATCAATCCGTCAGTCTTATGACTACTGTACTAGGGGATCAGTAAAACCACTCGGTCGCTCAACTGTATTAGAGATTATAGTTTATTAGGCTATATAATTAATTAATTAAAAAATAATTTTCATTGGGAGTGCATATTTGTAAGAAATACAATACCTAGAAAATAAGTATATTGTACTTGGGCCTACGGGTAAATCATATTGTAAGATATGTTGATCCTCTATGGACACTGTAAATATTTAAGTACAACAAGAGTAAATAGAACAAAGTTGTACACGAAGTTCAAGAATGTGAAATCAACAGTACCGAAAGTACTTCTCATACTGTAAAATCTTAATCATATTTTGGTTGAAGTGGTCCGGATGCTGTGTATATTTAGTTTACAGCAGCTTTCTTCAACCTACGTAAATTCACAAAACGTAAATTTCGTGCATTGTATGCCTTCAGCTTGTAATTTGCTCCCAAAATAGGTTCGTTTGCGTCTTGCTTCTGTACACGGACAGATGCCATTATTTAGATGGAAAATGAAATACTAAAATACCAACAAGACTAAAATAAAAAAAAATATATATAGATTGCGATGCGTTGATAACACACATTATAAATAACAATTCGTTTCTATCCTATATGTTGTTAGGCAAGCATGTTTCTTGAAAACCTTTTTCTCAGCTTGTGTGCATCGCAGGGAAAATCTACGCTAACTGTTTAGAAAGATATTTTCCTTTATATGTGCAGAATCCCTTTATGAATTAAAATAGGCTCAACAATAAGCACAAACATGAATTTCAAATTTAAAAAATGAACATGGGCCTTTTGGGTTGCCATGCTGGTCACGAAACAACAACGAAATAGAAAAATAAAATCAAAACAAATGGAAGAAATTCCAACCATGTGTGTTATTTACAACATGGGTTGAAAGTAGAGGTCCGTACATTATATATGTCACCTTAAGTTTTTATTTGTATTTATCTGGACTACTCCATCGTCAAAATCAGCGGACGAATTACAGAAATGAACAGATTCCTTCAACTCCAGCTGATTCTTTTTGTCCAAGAAATATAAATAACTACTTTAGGCTCATACTTGTATTGAAAAGCTCTGTTTTCGCTCCAGTGTAGCAAAAATAACATTTCAAATAACGTTACAACGCCTCCGTCCGCCACCTCTAGGGTGGGCCGCCTCTGAGACGTGCGGCCTTGACGTCCAGTCGCTGTTTACAAATAAATGCTCCACGGAAGGTCATACCAAGCTTCCTCCTAGATGTTGCAAACTTGCTCCTGATTGCAACGTGTGTTGCAACCGTTGCAAGTTGCAACAGTGACTCGCTGAACTCTGAGCTTTACCGGAATGCGGAGTAACCGAGACATTCTGAGAACAATGCTTGCAATTTGCATACTTCGGGTTCCGTGTCCCAAGACAAAGGTTTATGATCGTGTGTTCTTGTACGAAATTAAAAAAAGAGGGTGTTGGAAATCGTTAGTTCATGCTGTTCTCGTTCTGAAGAAATTTTCTAAATTAGCTATAGTGCCACAGACAGCTATTGAATGTGAGCAATGATTCAGTGAAGTAGGAAATGTAGATCATCAATAATATGCTTTATTATTGATATGCTTTTTTATGATTTATTATTTGTTAATATGCTTTATCAATTTTTTTACTTTTTAATTTAATTTAATTGACGTTCAGGTTAAAGCTCTTTGCCTCTCTTATTTGTTGAACATAGCGAATTTTATAATGGAATTTAATGACGGGGACATAAAAACATTACAGTTACAAGAAGTTGCCCCATCACTTTGGCATGGCAAACATGTTGTGTATGAAAAAGTATAGGAGGATATAGAGCTATATCCCATACCCTATGTTCAACTATATCCTCCTGGAGTTAACTGGCAATCGCTGGTCCATGTAGGAAGTCTCGAGCAATATACAAAGTCAATGCTTACATTTAAACAAAGTCAATCTGTAAATTTAAAGTCGAGTGAACGAACAAGAGACACGATAACTGCTGGATAAACCGCTTTGATTGGCCCTTCCGGAAATGTTCCCAGCAAACAGCAAACTAACTGGACAGACATAACATCAAACTGGTAAATTAGGTGACTATTAGCGAATTTCCCTATAGGGAAGTAGCTATTACCGTAGGTGGCACGGTAAGACCTAGACCCAGGACCGATTTACTTTTTCATTTTGATGTCCCCAGAGGCCAAAAACACTATTCGTTCAAATTTTTATATATGTATATATATATATATATACGTCCGTGAACGCGATAACTTGAGTAATTTTTGTCCGATTTTGATGAAATTTGGTTTAAAGGTGTAAAGCGGGATAAACTTGAATGAGTTCGCGAACCAGCACGATCGGACCATGGGAACGGGGCTTTACGGGGGGTTTTATGGGGTAAAAATTGGTTTTTCTCACTTTTGACCCTCAAAACACAAAATTTCCCAATTTCTCTTTAGACCTTTTTAAAGAGCTTAAAAAAACAAATAATTTAGTATATAAAAGTATTTTTGTTTGAATATTAGTAACGGAGAAAATGAAACAAATTGTAAATTTAAAATTCCCATGCTATTCTTATGGAGAATATTGTCAAATGTAGTTTGCTTGTTTATGAATATATTTTGATCAAACTTGGCAAATTTATTTATTTTGTACTAAGCTATCAATATTTTACTCAAAAACACACTTTATTAGTTTCCTTGTAGCAGCAAACCTAGGTACTCGTTAAACCTAATGTTATTAAAATATAAGTATTTAATTGAAAATCAATTCAGACAAATGGAAATTCGCGTAGTCAGCAGGTTTGCTGCGGCGGGTGTATTTTTTAACCCTTTTCACTCGCCAGGAATACCAGGAAAATGCTGTAAATCATATAGAAACCCAAACGGCGTGATTAAGTCCGTAGAATGGGTTTCCTTGCAACAGGAGAGTTGATTTCAGGAAAAAATTATCACTGATGTATTCTTTGAGAGGTTTTGTAAAGGTTGGGATTTTTTTAGTGAAATAGTTTCCAAGAAGTAGTCTTTGGAGGTAGTCATTAAAGTTGGTATGTATAGGGCAAGGATGTAGAATACTATCATATTCTAAACACAACTAAACCATTGTTGGGCATAATATTTTTCTACATTGAAATTTGTGGGGTTTTTATTCGAGAATTCTGAACCAACCACTTAACGGATTTTCATGAATCTTCTGTTAAAAGAAAGATACGTGGGAGACAAAGGAAATGTCGAAGCCATCATTTTAATTTTTTTGTTAGTTTTTTTTTAAAATTTATCTTAATTTGTTAAAAGTTTAGCAGCCGACGCTGAAATTCTAGATTAGCTTTTGAGAATTAGGATCAAGATGGCATTCGTAGGATCGACTTATTTATACCATGTGTAATACCATAATCGTTGGTACGTTCATTATTTGTCCGGTAAGAGGACGATTGATTATATATTATATAAGACTTTTGATCTGATTTAATTTTCTTAAAGTATAGCAGGCTCTAAAACTGAGTTTGTTTTAGTGCAATATAATTTGTTTCAACTAAACTAACACATGTAAAATGTTTGTAGAGCTATGAGGTAAGTAACCCCATATAATTTGGAGTACAGCAAGTATAATTCCCATTTGTTAAACCTTTAGCAATACCGGAGTACCTTTGAACATATGTACAGTATTTTAGTATGAAGCGATCTATCTCTCTTAGAGACCAGTATATGGCAGTCTACTTTGACTACTTTGTCTACCCATGGTGGATGGAATAAACATAGGTGTGCTATTTGCTATTCCCGTCATATACTGACCTCACCCAGATTGCTAACACCATTTCACCATTTAGAAAAAATATAAAAACAATAACAATCCAATCAAAAACATATATTTACCTATATGGCTATTCAATCAGGTGAATTTTTGTTTGCAATCTATATAGGTGACGCCAGCACTTGTGATGAAAATAGCACACCTATGTTTTTCTTTCCACCATGACATCCACCTTCTAGTCTCGGTGAGCAATCATTTGTAATCTATAATATAATCTTGGTCTAAAATTTTGGTGACGTGTGTTTCAGGCGACAGCTATGGGCTCCACAGTGGTGGCGAGTCTACTACTGGCCTCTTTAGCCTTAGTGGCCTGTCAGCAGCGCGAACACAAGGTAAACACACTACCATTGACTATAGACAATGAATACAAACCACTATAGTGGTTTGTATTCATTGCTATAGACTACTTGTTTGTATCAATGACTCTATTATGACTCTAGCGTCGTCAAAGTCTCCTGTATTGCACGGCCGCAGCGATGGTGTGTGGCAACGTCGCACCGGCCGGCCTATTTCCATACAGTAATATGAAACGTGTGAATATAAACATTGCGCAGACGCATTATGAATTAATGCAACAGCTGTTTTGGTAGGCCGTGAATGCGACGTTGCCACTTTGTCTCAATGCGGCCTAGTATTAGAGGAGGCTATGGTAGTAATATGCAATGCTATTTTGTAAACACTACTTAGACAATACTGTTTTTATAAAGGATTTTTTTTATAAATATGAATCTTAGATTTATTGCAAGGGAAGTTTTTAGAGCGTAATATTATACAAGGGTTTTCTTTTAAACTTAGCTCAAATTTAAGACACTGTTTAACTTGAACAACAACACAAGTTTACATTTTGGCATCCCTGTATTTTTTTAATTCATAGCCAATCAGCTGATAAGCACTGGTATTGTTGCATAGTTCTCTATTCGTTTTACTGTTATTCGGGAATTAATTCTCAACTTGGCGTTATAGCAAACTCTATTTTGAGCATGCAAAAAACATTACATCTCGTTTACAATAACCTCACAGATAACTAAAACGATGCATTAGCTGATCGTCAATGAAGTAAAAAAATGGGTCGCCGGAATTTTATCCCCCTGGAATTTTACCCCTGGGCAAAGTCACTATAACGTAGTAATCCGTGTAGTCCTATTCCGCCCGAGTTTTATTTCGCCCGTAGCCTAATTACTCCCAGTTCGCCCGCGGTCCCAGATTAACCCCTATACTGTACCTGCGTCAGGAGTCCTATTCCATCCACGGAGACGAAGCCCCACCTCCTAGGACCCCACCCACCCCCAATAGTAATATATACATATTGATAAATGCTTACGGCATAACAGATTAATAAAATTGACTGTCCATGAACTGTTAGTTACTGTACGGTTACTGTATGTTTCTGTACGGCAAACAGAAACATATGATAACACTGCAATCCAAGACATGGCCAAACAAAGGTTACTAGTTAGCTGCTTCTAGTGTTAAATACCCAACTGCACACCTTTGAGTTTTCTTTATTATACAATGTTATAATAACATTGTATAATGCCTATTGGGTCTGATTATGATTGGAGTGTCGAATCAAACTCGATCACCATTTGCCATCTTTTATGTATATTTATCGTCTGGTGAGATAACAGTATAAGAACACAAGAGTACGGTATGTAAAATGTTAATAGTTAGTAAGAAATAAAAATATTTTCCAAATTTGGGCAAAATATGTTAATAAATAAGCAAACTACAACAGTTTACTTATCCTCCATAAGAATAACATGGGAATTTTAAATTTACAATTTTTTGAATTTTCTCCATAACCATTAGGCGCATTATAACGCTTCAATATACTAAATTATTTGTTTTTTTAAGCTCTACAAAATAGTTTGGAAAGAAATTGCAAAAATTTAAGTTTTTTGGTTCAAAAATGGGAAAAACCCATTTTTACCCCATAAAAGCCCCCATAAACCCACGTTACCATGGTCCGATCATGCTGGTTCGCGAACTCGTTCGAATAAACGTAGGTTTACACGTTTGTACCAAATTTTATCAAAATCGGATCATTTTTGCTCGAGTTATCGCGCTAACGGACACATATATATATATATAAATAAATAAATATATATATATATATATATATATATATTTATATATATATTTATATATATCTATATATATATATATATGTGTCCGTTAGCGCGATAACTCGAGCAAAAATGATCCGATCCGGGACCGATTTTTTTTTTCGTTTTGAGGTCCCTAGAGAGGCCAAAAATAGCATCCGTTCAAATTTGAACGGATGCTATTTTTGGCCTCTCTAGGGACCTCAAAACGAAAAAAAAATCGGTCCCGGGTCCAGGTCTTACCATGAGTGCTACGGTAATAGCTTATCTATCTATCTATCTATATAAATAAAATTAGAGTTTTGTCTGTACTTTGCTCAGAATTATATACTTTTAGGTTATTTTTACGTTTTATACATTAAAGAAGCAGAAACGAGTCTTATCTCTATTTCTGTCTGTCTGTCTGTCTGTCTGTCTTTCCCTTTGTCTGTAACACTCAAGATGGCATTTTACGCAATCTTCTCCGTGAAAACCAGAGTACCTATCAAGATCCAAGTCATTTTAATGTATTCACTGGATTGGCGAGAGTGTCTTTAGTGATTTAAATATAGCCTCACTACTTTGTAAATCAAATTACGGACGTTCAAAAATGCAGTTTTGTGCGATCTTTGTCAAATTTTCGTTCAATTTTTATCACATAATCGTCTATGAAATAACGAACAGCTGTTCGGATCAAGATTATTTTTTCTAGCTGTCAATGATATGTTTACAAATGTTGTTTACAAATACCGCAACCATTTCGAATCACGTTTTGAAAGCAAATCCCAACCAAGTGAGATTAAAAACGTTTTTCTTACATAACGGATTTAATTAATCGCAAGTGCAATAATATAGTCTAATAGTGTAACCGTAAATTAAATTAAATAACTAGACATCGTCCAAATCGGAACCAGAAATTCTTTGAGTATAAAATGTTTCTTGAGTTTTGACAACCAGAAAGAAGACCTTGAATCAGTGTTGTATAGGGCTGGACACTGAAATGATCGTCGCCAATAGCTTACAAAAAAGGTTTCCACTCATTGACGGCGCTTCAATGGCGGTTGTGTAAAGTGTAAAGTAAAAAATCACAACTGCAGTGGGTGATTGTAACAGAGGTTTAACAGAGGAAGTGCTAAACTCGCTTTTCCAATGTGTCACTTTCTGTTTCTACTCACCGTGTTATGCAATCGCTGGGCCATACAGCCAATAGGCCCATAGCTCATATCTTGGGTACGTAAGCCTACATATTTATTCATAACAACCTTTTTGGCGACGATCCTTGATACCGGTACTTTTCCATAGAATACATGGCCTACCTACTTAAGAAATATAATTACAAATGACCAAAACCCCAACATTGTGTGATTTTCGTCACATTTCCTTCTAATGTTAATAGATACACTAATCATTGTTTAGAGAATGCGTAATCTATTAAATAACAAAAAAGTTGTTTGGGTAAGGTTGTTTTTTTTTTCAAACTGACCAATAAGTTTACGCTATAACTTTTTACGAGAAAATCAGGGCCGGATTTAGCATTTTTGCGCCCCTAGGCCCAAATAATTTTCCGCCCCCTAATCTGGTGACAGTTACTTTCCTTCAAACCTTTATTAAAAACTATACCATGCCCATTGACCTAAGTTAATTGCTTGAATACCACTCCTCGTTGGAATCATTGCAAGTTTTTTTTTTAAGGATTGACTTGTTTATAGCCTTAACAAAATGCCGTCTTAAACACTTTAGCAATTTTATGCTTTTAATAAATGCTCACGTTTGTGGCCGTGGGACTAAAACAAAACAACTCAACCCACCGAGCATTCCTGAGAAAAAAAACATGGCCATTGATTCCAATTCCAGGCCAAAAAACATGAACTCCATACAGTACGGGATACTATAGATTAAACATACTCCTTTAGTAGGTTTGTCATCATTTTGGATTAGCTGAAAACAATTCTTGTTATTTAATAGTACCTAGTATGTTTGATCTATGTTTAAATCTAGTTTATCCAAAATAAAACGATCTAATCATCAACAATAGGTCGTCTCCTGGTTATATTACAAGAAATTTAAACACACATCATAGAACTAACCCTAAAATAATGGAAACAAAATTACGTCAAAACTAACGTCCAGTGTCACCAACATGAACTAGACATGAAAAATTTTTGAATTAACAATGTCATAAGAAGTCGACTTGAGTTATATTTAATCTATGGTCGTACTGCATCTAGGTTATATATTTCCAAAGCAAAACAGAGAAATATTCCGGCCAACCGTCGATCCTTAGGTCTGAGGAGAAAATGACAGTATTATTGGTGCTTTGCAGGGTATTGAATTTTTCTAAAATCTAATGCAAACTGAGATTAATATTTTTTGGTTACCGTAATTTTAAAGGTGAATTCATCGTTGTTTTAATATTCAACACAACTTATTAACTTGATCCTGCAGATTGTTGTAAACTAATCAAAAGTCAAAAGATTAGTTAATAACTTTTGTTTTGTGAGGTGAGGGTAGGCCTAGTAACAATGTCTAGCACGCATGCGCCCCTAATCACTCTGATCCAACGAACTATACTGCTCTGATCAGTAGTGCCGAGCCCAAACCAGCATAGTGGCAGTGCAGTGGCAATACGATGCGTACCCCTTGGGCGCTCGTCAACGTCAACATTCCTACAGCCTACTCCCGTATAACCAATGTTCGTTACCAATTTTGTAACGAAATTGATGCGTAATTCTGAAAAATAGTTTAGATTTCCTAACAATTATTTCTTCTTACGAACTTCAGAATCACAATGCTTTGGAGTTTTTTTTTTATCAACTGTGACTATTTATTTTTTTATTTTTAGATAACCTAGGTATAAAAAAAATACTCTCGGCCGTGCGCCCTCTGGGACTTTGCGCCCATAGGCCCGGGCCTATCGGGCCTATTGGGAAATCCGGCCCTGGAGAAAATCCAAAAGCAAGAGATCAATAACCTCGGGACTAGATATTAATGTATTTAATTGTACGGATGTACTATAGTTCTTAGGTAGGTTCTTACGTAGGTACTGGTTCTTTTCCTTAGAACCGTTGGTAGCTGCTAGAATCATTTTTACGTAGGTACCAACACATCACTGTAGTTTACAAATTAGTTATCGTTGGTGTTGCACCTTATTTATTAGAGCCGTCCGTATTCAATTTAAGTGATGTCTTAACTCATAAGTTTTGCTTTTTCTGTCTGGATTCCAAATCTTAGCTTACCCGGTATGCTAA